TGTTGGGGGGAAAGCCCTTTGAGACCTCCAAAGGCAACAATCGCGGCGGCAAGGACCCCCAGGGAGGTCTCCCCAGGCTTGCCTGCCACCATGGAAGACCTCCCTGGGGGTCCCTGCCACAGTGATCGGCGCCTTCGGAGCTCTCAAATGGCTTCCTCCGATGTCGGGGGGAAAACTGTTTGAGACCTCTGAAGCCAAAAAGGCAGGGAGAAAGGGTGGGAAATAAGAATTTCCAGCCCTCTCGCCCTGCCTTTTGGGATTCGGAGGTCTCAAACAGCTTTCCCCCTGACATCAAAGGAAGCCTTTTGGGAGCTCCGAAGGCGCTGATCGCTCCGTTGGCATCGACTTGCAAACGGAGCCTCATTTGTAGATTGAGGCTCCATTCGCAGGTCGATACCAATTTTTTCCAACAGAGCAGTTCATAAGTCGAAATGTTCGTAACTAGGGCCATTCGTAAGTTGAGGGTTGACTGTAGTTGTCTCCAAGCCCCAGTCTTGCTCTGGTTGATACTCAGTTTCAAGGACAATATTATATTGCTTGGATGAATGCAAGTACTCATTGTCTGTATTAAAATGCTTCTGTAGATCTGAAAGAAAGAAGAACCTAGTAGATAGTTTTTAACAGGTTATAGCACAGCCAGTGCTAGATGTTCTAAACCTAAGAGCCACTTTCAATGGTGTAAATTTGTGGTAGGCTATAACTAAATTGGTGCAAGAAAAAGACCACTAGCCATGGCCAACATTTGTATTCAATAACTTTCTTTTTTAAAAAATACCAGAAGTACTTAATGTTATTTCCGCATGTCATGCTTGGCAGCTATATAAGATATAGGACAGATACTACTGTTGCAGTAGCAAGCAGATGCTGAGATCTTGATATGACTTCTGTGTCAGTACAACTAAAACAAGTTGGCTTACACCATATTTGCTGCTACAAAGATTTAGGACTGAAGACTAATGCATAATATCCTTTTCTCCTCATGTCAATGTTCCTTATCAGAACCAAATAAATAGCAATCATTTGCGGAGAGCAGAGCAAGAAATCACCAATCTGCAAAGCAAGGTCCAGCATCTCTCTGTACAAAACAAAGGACTTCTGGGTCAGTTGACTGAATCAAAGAGGAAGCAAGCAGAGATTGAATGCAAGGTACATTCATTGGATGCATGAAATTATTGATCTCTGTTGTGTATACACACACCACATACACACACACACACACACACACACACACACACACACACACAAGTTGTATTGTCTTCACCTGATAATTTTTATACATTTATACATTAGATCAGAAGAGAGCAACCTCCTACATCCACCAGTTCCTCCCCTCCTTTTCTCTCTCTCTCTCTCTTACAAAATTGGATTTCCTTATTGGGCAAAAAATGTCTCATGCCGCTAGTGGGAGCATGTTAGCAAGCCGTAGCAAAAAAATCCCTTACAGGGCACAAGGGGACTCTCTGAGCCACGTTTCATCTCCCAAAAATGTTTTATCTCCAAAAAGTGTTTTTGGGGTGGTATGGGAGAGCTGAGATGCCACATCTGGCCCTCTGGGGGCTCCATGTGGCCCACACTGAATTAGACCAACATGCTTAATTCTCTCTGCCATGGGGGAAACATACTAAGATGGGCATGATGTTTTAGACAGCAGAAACACCCACCCACATGATCTTCCTTCCTAGTCACCCCAAAGTATTTTTAATAGACTGCCAAGTTTAGCACTAGAGCACTTTATCACTACATTGATATACTGGTTTAGCATTAGATCACTTCTGCATGGATAAAAAAATATAGAGATAAAAATCAATATAAAATACAAATAATTCCAATGAACTACAGCAGACTACTATGCTTCCATGGTGTATATGTATGTGAATATACATTATGGAGAGCTTCAGAAATCTGTCCCTTTCCCCTAGAGCTTTGTGATACAGTGGTGCCTTGCTTAACGAGGGTAATCCGTTCCAGCAAAATCGCTGTAGAGTGAAATCCTCATTAAGAGAAATATAAAAATCCAATTGAAACGCGTTGAAAACCCATTCAATGCGTTCCAATGGACTGAATAACTCACCGTCCAGCGAAGATCCTCCATAGGGGCGGCCATTTTTAGTGCCTGTAAAGCGAGTGGGGAGCCATTTTACACAGCGGGCGGCCATTTTGAAGCCGCCGATCAGCTGTTTTAAAAACATCGTCTAGCGAAAAATCAGTTCCCGAAGCAGGGAACTGATCGTCGGGAAGCAAATTTTGCCTATTAAAATATCAATCATCGTATACCGGTTTCGTCGTTTAACGAGGCAGTTGTTAAGCCAGGCACCACTGTACTTTAAACAGCGCAGTGGCCTTATAATGAACCATAAAAGGAGAACTGGGGATCATCAGAGGGTAGGATCACAGGAAGGAGGCCTGTGGTGTGGATCAAACCACACCAGATGGTGGGGCCAGTATGCACTTTGGCAGTGAAACAACCCACAGTCTCTGTGCTATCACCTAATCAAAGCAGAAGTGTAAAATAAGCTGCAAATTAAGCCACAGTCTATTTTACACTTCTGTTCGACTTGTCAGTGTAGTCATAGCCTAACTGGGAGGAAAGGAGGAAGCAGAACAATGTAGGACAGAGAAGGTGTGGGGCAAGACAGCCAAAGGGAACAAAAGGACAAGACAATGGAAGATAGATGGGAGGAGGAGATGGCAAAAGGTACAGAAGGATAACCAGAACAGTGAAAGATGGAGGATGAAGAGAAAGGAAGATGGAATTGCGGCTTAGCAATTATCCAGGAGCCAAATTGCTATGTTAACAATAGCTCCAGTGGTAAAATAGGGTTTCACTTAAGATGACCTGCTTTATGTTGTTGGGGAACTGATGAAGTCATAAGTGTGGCATTATGTTGTAATGAATATCCTTCTTCCACTTCTACAAAATTACTCTGTAGCATCTGTAGCATATTTCACCATTTAGCCTTTGTCAGAAAACATTGTGGGATTTATGGTATGAGTATATCTGTATGTGCTGCTGAGACTAATGCGTTGACATATCTGGAGGACTGGGCAAACGTCAAAAGGATGCCTGAAGCTGTCGAGAAACCAGAAAGAAAGGGGGGGATTGGTGTCTCTTCATTTCCATTTTTTAAATCATCCTTTTATTTTGCTGCTATTGCATGTGCATGCATAATCTGATGAAAGTTTTGAATCAGCAAAAAGAGACAAACAGAAGTGCAAGATCAAAGGATGTGAAAATGCCATGTTTAGTTGCATTTTTTGTCTAAAATCTTCAATTGGATTTTTATATTTGCTTGCATTGAACGTGGTTATAGTTAGTAGTACTGTACACTTTTTTAAAAAAGTAAAAACAGTTCTAAAAAAAGTCAAATCAATAAATCATTAACTTAATTAAGTTTATTCTGAGTATAACCTGTTGGTATTTGGGGTAATTATGGCAAGGATATAATTTAAAAGGCTTTATAAGCATCAGGATTCAAATTTGTTTTCCTGAAATAAAACTTGTCACTTTTCAGTCCCTGGGAATCATGAGCTTTTCTCAAGTTTTTCTGTTTTCTTATTCCTAGAATAAAGAAGAAGTGATGGCTGTAAGACTCCGAGAAGCAGACAGCATAGCAGTAGTGGCAGAACTGCAGCAACACATTGCAGAACTAGAAATCCAGGTAAGAAGGAAAGTAATTTCCTCTTATAAACAATGATCCTGCTTTCCTTCAAGTGTGACACACTGTGGGCAACTGGTAACAATTCATAGAGCATTCACAAAACCATTAAAACGTAGAGTACATGTTGGAGATCACTTAGTCCAACTCCCTGCTCAAGTCAAGGTGCAAATGCAACATCCCTGACAAATGGTCCTCCAGCCTTCTAGTGCAGGCTGTAAATTGTGGTAAATGGTAAATTCATACATGGTTATCCAGTTACGAACAGGACACGGTGTTCCTCTCATGTGTGAACTCTACTTTTGATGCCAGTTCCTGTATTTCCTAAGCTTTAACCTGGGTTTATGTTGCCTGTCTTTCACTTGTACCTTAGCATTTGAATTCTGAGATTTTTAAATTGTTTATCTACCACTCAGAGCACTACTGTAGTGCCTTTCAATGGCCCATAAACATGGATGAATCAGTCAATCGTTACTCAGTTGTGATGTGTGGTCCCAAATGGGAATTCACATATCTGCATCTAGAAAAAAAAAGGAACAAATCTGTGGAGCAAAGGTAAACATAGCAAAGTGGATTTTCATTGCTGGATTGACAAAATCTGCCCGCTTTAAGTATTTATAAATATGACGGTGTGCATTAAGTAGACTGATTAAGTAGAATGTCATAACCTGCTGAATACATCACTGGGTTGCCACTGCCGTTAACTCTGCTCACAGCTGTATTTTGGTGCAAATTAACCAACTGCATAAGCTACAGAACAGGATATTCAGGAGCACTCCCAATTGCACCAAGTAAACTGTGGTCCTAGTGCTGTGCCAGAAAGGGGGACTGTTTGTAAAATGGGTGGGATGGATCACTCTTATTGAAAATGCATGAAACATGGAGTGAACCAAACTGAACCAAAAGCAAACCAAATAGCATGCTGTATGCCCATTTGATCACCTTCTGAAAAGAATATGTGCTTTGCTGCCTTAAGATGATATCACTACTGTATACTGTGTCTTAAGTAAAGCAAGTCAAAAGAATTAAGTACTGCCCAAAATACTGTATGGATTTAAACCATACAGATAGTCTTTCTTTGAAAAGAAGCCACAAAGCTTTCCATTTTTTTTGAGAGGAAGCGGTAGAGCTCTTCTGTGAAGACTAAAACTAAAACCACGATGGCCATTTCTGGATTTAATAGCTCTCTTACAAAGCAAAAAGAATCTGAATAGTCTGTTTTTTAGACTGAAGTACAGCCGAAGTACAGTCAATAGCTCTGTGTCTTAAGACTGGTAAAGATAACAATGAACAATAATTTAGCAGGTCCTCTTCTTCAGGGTATTTTATTTACCTGAGAATTCAGGAATCCTCCTACAAGGTCAAAACAGGGCCATAGCAATTACTCTAAACCATTCTGCTTTCTGTTAAATGTCTGGGTGTCAGCGCAAGACACTGGGTATTAGACATATAAGGTGTGTTTAGTTAACACTCCACCCACATTACTACTGAAATTACTTTACAAGCAAGTCCCTAGATTAAATCACAGTTTTGGAACATCATCAGGGGAATCACCTTCATGCTTTCTCCCCTTCTCCACCATTATCAAAATACTGTAACCTGTGGCTTTTCTTGTCCAAGCCTTTTGTGGGTATAACTGATATATTCATCCACAATAACTTGAGTGTTTTCATTTATAGCAGGCTTTTAAAAAAAGGTTTTTGCCCATCTGAGAGAATATACACCAATATTAGACTCTCAGTCTAGCTTCCTTCCACAAGTAGTGTGCTAATATGATCAGAATCTTATTCTAGATTTACTCTAATGTAAGTGTAGTGGTGTAAATCACAGTGACATATTACTGCCAGTTAATGAGTTACTGCTTGTATTTTTAGTCATGTGCCAGTTGTTTGACTTGGTGTGCAATTTAGAATGCAAGCAGCAGCTCATTAATTAGTGGCAGTTCACCATAACAGTTTATGCCATTATGCAGGAGTAATTCCACACAATATGAAAGGGGCCTATGTGTATAAAATAAACAGAAATACAGACCTGTTAATGTTAGGTGACTCCCAACCACTTTGTGTTGGTCATTTTAAAGAACATTCCCTTAGAGAGGGGAGTCTTGACACTATTGCATGAAAAAGCTACTACCTTGTTGTTGTTAGTTTCCTGCAGAACCACCCATCAACGGTCTCCAGCATTCATTATGTTAATGAATTAGCCTTTTCAAGGATAAATAAGGGTGCCTCCCCAAAAGCAAAGGGCGCCTTTGTACCTTACAGGGAAATAAGTAGCTTTAAAAATCATGTCTCATTTCTTTAACACTTGTAGGATTCTGTACAAACATTGTGTAAGTCCTGACGGCCTAAACAGAGAATTTCCATTCCTGCAATTACAGGAAACTTTAAAAAAAAAACTTCTTTAGCAGTGTGATGTGTTTTCTGAAAGTATAGAATGAGTCATCCTAGTCACCAAAAGGCCACAAATCCCCCACAGCTGGCCCGATGAATAAACTTAATTTAGACATTCAGTGCAAAATGTCACTGTGTAGCAAAAGTTCACGAACCAGCCCAGGCTGTGACAGGCTATTCCAATGTAGTTAAGTTCCAAAATGTGCAAGCAAATAGCAGTGCTTTGTCACTGAATGACTCAATTGAGTCTCGTCCTCTGAAGTTAATCCTCAGTGTAATTCAACAGGAAAAGGCAGTAATGCTGGAAAAAGTTGAAGACAATAGGAAAAGAGGAAAACCAAACATGAGATTGATTGATTTAATAAAGATAAGCACAGCCCGAGTAGGGCTGTTTATTGATGGGACCTTTTGGAAGCCATTAATTCATGACTTAGTAGGGTTGCTGACTGCCTGTCAGAACATCTTGGAAGTGGTCTATCATCAGTCCCCACTCATTCTTATTATCTCTTTAAGATGGTAGGAAACCTTCTGAAGTAGTTTAGAGCATTTACAGAGGGTTGAGAGATAAAAGGAGAGCTTCCCACAGTGTGGGAAGGTGGCTTTGGGATGGAACACTGTCACATTCCACGATTCACTTGCTGGCCTTTTTCTGTCAGCCCAAAAGTAAAATAGGATTCTAATAGATTTATTCTGTAAGCCCATGGGACAGACTTCCAATATCTAATTCACCATACCTCTAATTCATGAAGTATTCCAAAGAGACTGGTAGCTGTTCCAGGTTCTTGATTTAAAAACCTGTTGGTTTAGATTATGGCATTTCCAAGCACTTTTCTTTTTATTGCAATTAAGAATTCTAGAGTAGAATATACAAGTAGACCCTTGTAATATTTGCAGATCATGGTGCTTCATTTCAGTGGAGTGGAATTGAACTCTCCTTGGTGTGACCCATTGGAACCTCTTTTAGGTGTCATTTGTAGCAAATTATATACAGTAATTAAGGAAGGCAAGCAGCTTCCTCTGGGAATGAAAAAGTCCATGTAAGAAACCTGTATTTGCAGGGCATCCCTAGCACTCACTTTACATATTTTGTTGGTACTTCTGAGAATGGCAATGCTTCTACTCATCTGTTTCAGCTTGTTTATATATCATTCATCTAGCAGGGTGGTGTGATGTTTGCCTCTCGTGGCCCCTGTTTGTCTCCCCAAACACAGAGCTCACAAAGGCAAACCAAAAACTCTTGACACGCTGCCACCAGTTGATCTCCTTATCAACGTACTTTACTTAGGAAAGATGAAGGTCCATTCAGTACTGACTTATTAATAAAACAGGTTTATTGATTACAGATGGTTTCTAGGATAATTCATAAGCATATTCTTTCAGTTTCACCAAGCATCAATATTAATCTATATTAAATATCACAGTTTGCTATCTCTCTGATTCCTAACACAGACTCCTCTGACTTAGACTCCCCCTCAGTCTCCACCTTTTAGCATCTCCTGAGGGCCCACCTCACAATCACATTAGCATATAACTCAGGAATATTACATATCTTATTACATAACTTAGGGTGAGCACTACATACCTCCCCACTTAAATATGTTTGTTTGGGAGGGGAAACATGCTTTTCGTCCTAAACAAACATGCATCATTGCATAAAAACTCTACTTACCCTCTGTGAACATTTTGCAAGCAATAAAAACATGCTATATAGCAATCACAATATCTTATTACACTAAGCATTCCAATACAATTTAATAATATACTTTACCTTATCATTTATACTTGCTACATTTAACATTTCAACCTTACAGAAATATAACATAATCAGAAAAATTTTACATAGATAATTAAACAGTGACCCCATAGTCCATTCAGGTTTCTTTTAAAAAGTCCTTGAATCATTCTACATGTCTCAGTCCATCAGTCTTCAATTTTTCATCACTATACACAAACAGAAAATTTATGATAACATTACCAACTTTGTTTATTCCCCCATCAGTCATTTGGCTTTTGAAGCAAGGTATCAGTATCCACGATCCCTTTTACGCTATAAATTACAAAGTCCAAGTCTTGCACACTCCTGTTGTCATCTGTTTGGCACAGAGCCTCTCCAAGTCCAATGCTCGATGTATCTGTGACAATGGTGAACTCCCAGCTGTAGTCAGGTGTGCTGTAGACTGGTCCGGTCGTTACCGGCTCTTTCAGCTGGTCACACGACTGCTGGCACTCAGGGGTCCCTCTGATGATCTCTGGCTCCTTCTTCTGCATTCTCTTTAGTTGACTAGCAGTCATCAGGCCCTCTGTTGTCCACTGGACGTCCTCTGCTTGCCCTTTCTTAGTGAAGCCTGCTTTCTTTCTGACACGGGGCTTCACTTTCTCAGCTGGGGAAAGGGTAGGCAGTTCCCTCTCCTCCTCCCGAGCTTCTCTGGATGCGGCCTTCTTTAAGATGTCAGGGCTTACACCTCCCTCCTCACTCACAAATTCACCCAAAGGTACTTTCATTGCAAAGTCCACCAGTCCTAGCGATTACCTCAGTTCCTTTTCTTCCGCTGCTGAGGTCTCACTTCTAGAGCTTCACCACGAAGAATTGGTTATTTTGAAACAAAGTATGTAGATAATCAATTTCTTCATTCATATTTCTCTTTTCCAGTCCAATTCTTCCCTTAAAAAAAGAAGAATAAAAGTTTCTTTTTATTTTCTCCTCACAGTCCACCACGACCACCAGTTGTCTCCCTTCGCCGAGTTTTTCTTCCCGCCATTTATGGCCCCTAAGGCCCCCTTCAAAAAGTGTGTTTCCTGCACCAACAAACTGCCAGTCTCAGATTTTATGCTTTGTTTTTGGTTTGTTAGGTTTTTTGTTTGGTTTTGTTTTGTTTGTCATATGAGTTATACATGGAGTTTGAACTACACAGGGGTCTGGTGCCCCTAAACCCAGCAATACTGAAAGGAAAAGTGTATATGGATTAGACATCAGTAATCACTGTCATGATGTGGAAATACCTGAATCCAGAAAATGTAACAATAACAAAAGTAGTAGAGCTAGAGCATTGATCAAATTTTCTCTCTTTTTTTTTTCTGGAACAGAAAGAAGAAGGGAAAATTCAGGGGCAGCTTAATAATTCTGACTCTAGTCAGTATATTAGAGAACTGAAAGATCAGATAGCAGAGCTGAATCATGAAGTAAGTAAAAAAAATCATTTTTTAATCATTGTGTGTTTCTTTCCAGTATCTTGAAGCAGTCTGGGGGTTTTGCTTAATTTGTATAGTTACAATGTCAGCATTTTTAACTTCTTCCATTTAATAATTTGATAATTCCTTCTCAAGATCGACAGAAAGCCTCACTAGGACTTTAAAAGAAGAAAACTGCATTTAGTTGCAAGAATTGTGTGGAAACCCGTTATAATTACATTACTCCTGTCAGCCATTTATAGTAATTTTTGAAGGATTCCCCCCCTTACTTTTGTACTATGATTATCAGTACCAGTACCTGTATTTAAATTCAATTTAAAACTTTCAGCTTAATTGATAAGGTTTTAAATTCATCTCATATTGCACTTGTTATAAAATGTTGACAATTAGGAAGGCTATTTATAATTATGCTCAGGCACACCATTTGAGTTCCAGTGTTACATGAACAGTGGTGAGAGACAAAAGTGGAATATGAGGAGAACCAGAAATGCAAAACACATTTATAAATCATTTCTCTTGTGCAAAGATTATCATTGTTCCATAATACTGTAGTACACATTATGGCTGGTTTTGCTTGAACTCAGTAGAATAGATTTCTGTTGAAGGTGTGTTGCAATCTGTGTTGCTGTTTTGTGCAAAAGAAAAGAAAAGAAGAGAAAAGGAATAATATCTGGGACATCTGGAACTTATCTGTGGCCATCGCTTAAGAATTAAAAACTGCAAGAGATCTTGCTTTACTTTATTAGCAGTACTACTTGTAATCATTGTGTCACTTTAATAGTCACTAAGTGGTTGGGAGTTTGATTTCCCATTGTGCCTCCTATAAGATCCAGCCTATGTGGCCTTGGGCAAGCTGCACAGTCCCAGGGCTCCCCCTGAAGAAGAGAAGGGTAAACCACTTCTGAGTACTCTCTATCTAGAACGGGTTGCCATAAGTTGTAATCAACTTTACGGCACACTATTATTTTTATTATTTAATTATTTTTCCAAATAGGAAAAAAGGTGGGAGACAGCCAAACAAAAAGGCTGATGTGGCCTCACAAAAAGCTCAGAGAGGACCTGAAAACAAAATCAAAACAAAATGCTCATATAGGAAGTGGAAAGGGAGAAAGGCCACAAAGAAAGAGTATAGACAAGGAGCAAGGAATTGCAGGGATTCAGTTAGACGGGCAAAAGCTGAGAATGAGTTGAGGTTAGCTAGAGACACTAAAGCAGCAAAAAGAAAAATCTTCAGGTATGTGCATAGCAAAAGACAAAGAAAGAGTACCTCAGCTACTCAGTGGAGATGAAAAAAATGATAACAGACAACAAAGAAAAGGCCGAAGTGCTCAATTCCTATTTTAGCTCAGTCTTTTCCCGAAGGACAGACTATGACCCTCCAGACAAATACGAAGGACTAGTGAAGAGGACAGGACTGCAGCTGGAGATTGATAAACAAGTAGTCAAATAACTGGTTGTTGTAGGTTTTTCGGGTGGGCCAGCCATGTTCTTGAGGTTTTCTTCCTAAGAGATTATCACAACAATACACCCACAACAAAAAAACACGCTGATCACCATAATCACTCAATCTGCTGAAAAGGACAAAAAGCTGATCCCACAACTGTAAATACTCAACTATCCCACAAACTGCACCAGAGCACAGAGTTCTGACTCCTGTCCTCTGAAGATGCCGGTCACAGAGACTGGCAAAACGTTAGGAAGAAAAACCTCAAGAACACGGCCAGACAGCCCAAAAAATCTACAACAACCATTGGATCCCAGCCGTGAAAGCCTTCGAGAATACAGTCAAATAATTCCTTACTAACTTGAATGAGTTCAGCTCTCCAGGGCCAAATATGCTACATCCAAGAGTTTTGAAGGAGCTGTCTGGAGAGCTCTCAGAAGCCTTGTCCATTTTTTAAAATCATGGGAAATGGGTGAAGTGCCAAATGATTGTAGGAGGGCTAATGTTGTTCCTATCTTCAAAAAGGAGGAACCTGGAAACTACAGACCAGTCAACCTGACATCAATCCCTGGAAATTTCTGGAACAGATTATTAAGCTGTCACTATGCAAGCACTTAGAAAACAATGTACAGTAGTAATAACTAGAGGCCAACATGGCTTTGTGAAGAACAAATCCTGCCACATTAATCTGATCTCACTTTTTTAATTGGGTTACCTTCCTGATAGACAGAGGGAATGTTGTAGATATAGTATATCTTGACTTCAGCACACTTTTTAAAAATTTTCTTATTATTA